TTAAAAATATTGCAAATGAAAATCCATTTGCACTTTTCATAATTGTTTTTATCAATGCAATAATCAGTCCAGTGCACAGCGTATAGATATGTATATATATTTTGTTGTTTTCTAATTAATATTTATGAGCTTTTCAAACGACAAGTATATCTATATATAATTTATGTGGCTCGTCGAGCGTCTGTTTGCAATAGAAAAAAAATTACAAATGTGTTAATTTTTATTGCCCGGCCGCATTGTCGCGCTCTGATATTTGTTTATTTATAAATGTATAAATGGATGTTTTTTGATTTCCATATGCAGCTCGACAGACTTTAGTTATAAATGTGCGGTTTTGGTTTGATGTGGCTTTCTAAAAATATATATATTTTAAAGTGCCTGCTGCTTGCCAAATGATTTGGCTTTTAATATTTATTTTTGATTATCTCAATTGTAAGCAGCCTTTGGCATCGCATGATCTCTCACACTTTGTTATCTTATCTTTGTTGTGTCATGATAAATGAAATATACCTAAAGCCCAACACGAAAAGTTGCTTGGCCTTGACACTGGCCGATTTCCTTTGGCTCATGCAAGCTGTACCACGTGACGTATGCGGGATTTTATTTGTAAACAAATGCTGGCAAAAAAAAAAATTCAAACAATTTTAGATGCTCTTCCGACTTTTTAAGGCAGCTTTTAGCAGTTGACCAACCAAGTTGATATCAATATTAAAAGAATTTGCCTTAAGAAATTGTTCATAGTGCAAGTAATTTGATAATTGAAGAAAATTCAATTTTATTAATGAAGCATTTTTCTTATTAGGGTATTTTCACGTTTCTATATTTTAGAGAAAAATTCTCCTTATTTTTTCTAAAAAACATAATTAAACTTCAGCTGCAAATGTTTATTTTACATATTTACTTTAATTAAATTTAATTAATCATAAGTAAATATTTTATATAAAAAGGCTATAAGGCGCATCTCGTGAAAATGGCAACAGATATTAAGATGTTAATAAATACGGTAATTATTTTTAATTAATATGTAGTCGGAGCAATCCATGATTGCCTTCGGCTAAGTTATTATGTATGTATAATTCATTAAGTAAATTACGTTGTAAGCAATACATATATAACATGAAATTAACTCAAATATCAATCATGCCCTATTCCTGTCGATATCTCCCTTGAATATCTATAACATTGTATGGCAAGCGAGCATATACTTAAGTTTTTTCTTTCAAATACAAGCTAACATTTACACTCGTAATAGAAGCAATTTTGGAACTATTATGCGCGACCCGGACTATATTTTCATTTAAGTGGCACTTACACACGTTTACTTTTTGTACTTTCAATTGTTTAAAGGTTTTCTTTTTACCTATAAATTACGCCAAATTGAATTGACTTTTGTCAGTAATACATTTAACGTTAAATAGGCAGCTCATTTATGAAGCGGCCTTTATATTAAGGGAGCACACAAAGCTGACCTTTAACTCGTGACTTCGTGGGTCATTAAGTTCATTATGTTTGCCTGTGACCCGTCTGTGTCCATGGAAAATAGCTTGTGATCGCCTTCAATAAAGTGCTGTCCAATGAGCCGCACAATATACAATTAATTAAGTCGCTAAGCGCTCATAAACAAATATGCCAAAAGACCCGTACCTAAGCCCGAAACTCGGATTTCTGATAACAGGACCTTGCCCTGGACAAGGTTGGTTTATTGAACCAAGTTTAAGGACTGCAAAGCAGTTCCTTGACATTGGCCACAGAGTAGCAAACGCCAAGTGTCATTGACTGATGCGATCTGTTGGCATGAATTTCACGTTGAATAGAAATTAATTATAAAACACCTTTTGTTAATAATTTAAGCGGCTATTGTGTGCTGAGCATCAGCAGCTGTTTCTCCTGACGGTTGCCTTAATAATAAGTATTTTTGGGGCGCCACAAGGTGCCTTATTAACAGCTCTTGGTGGAGTTGAATCTCGCAGATGCCGCTTCTTTCGGCTGTCAACAATTGCCGTTTAGCGTTGCCAAGACTCCAATTATGTGCACCGTTACTCTGGTGAGAGCGGACGCCGAGTGTGCCTGAACAGGTATCTGATTCGCATGGACTGAGGCAACAGCCATTGGATCCCACCCCTGCGCCTGCCCCCCACAAGCTGGCACAAGCGGCGGAAACATTTTGCAATTTTCAGTTCAACAATAGAAAGCAATTACAAAACAAACTCAGCGCTAAATGAGAGTGTGGCAACAAGGCAAACAAAGTGTGCTAAGGAGGAGGTGTCTGGGCGGTGCAACAGGGGCGTTCACTTTGTGCGAATTGGGCGTGTGTGTGTACGTGTGTGTAATGATGATAATGCACACACAAATACACACACACACACACACAACTGGGCTGTTGTCAGGCATGGGCGATGTGTTGATTGGATACGCTCGGAATGATTTTTGGTTGGCAGTTTGGAATGTGGAATATGGTTACGAGTATATCAAAAGGGCTTGCTTGCGAAAAGGATTGCCAAATGTGAACGTAATAATGTTTATTCAATAAGCAATTGGAGCTAAATGGGTTGTATGCATCTTTCGTTTGAAATAACTGAAGCTTAAATTCTTTTATAAATAGAATTGTATAACATTTGCGTAAGGAGCTTGAGTTTGTTAGGAAACAAGAAAACTTTTGGACAGCTATGCTAAGCAGCAAGATCTTATGTTTCGGCTCCTTCCATAGAGCATTAAAAAATAGAGTTTACCAAGGTAATAGATTTGGATCATATATAAGGAGCATATAAACTTAGTAAAAGATTCAACAAAGAAGTTTCTCATACAAGAAGGGCTGGGTATACGCACGGACAACTATCTAAATATATATAACTTTATTAAGTATTAGCACTTGATCTACTATGTTTAATCCAATACAACCTCAAAATTAATTATAGCTCCCAATGAAACTTTACATAAGCTCGAGTAGTCGTTAAAGTCATTGAAGGAACTATTATAAGCACTAAGAACTAGCTGGCAGTAACAACTGCTTAATGGAGTTATAATAATGCACAAAAAAGCGACTATTAAATTTCGATTTTAACAAAGCTATTTAAGGTTAATTATATTGATTGCTGAAATATAAGCGATGTAATATCAATGCGAATATAATTAAAACAAAGTAAATGCTCATAAATTGTGCTCAATTGTTTTATGCTTTAGTTAAAATATTGCATTCTAATAAGCCGCATTGCATAAAGGACGCCTATTTAGCTGCTTTGGGCACATTGCGCATACGCCGCGTGTGTTTGGCGAGCGCTAATTGCGATGGCAGACATAAAGCGGCTACTTGCATTTGACTAACAATGCATTTGCATTTTATGGGCACACACAAAATGCTGCCCAGGTGTGCCGAGCCGCGGTGCAGTCAAATTAAAGTCAGCTAGGCACAGCCAACTAACAAAGTACGCCATAAAATGTGCTGCCAACGGATGTCATCGTCGTGGAAACTTTGTGCCGTTTATTGTTGACTCGACTGCCCCCATTTCCGGCATCCGGGCTGCGACTTGAAACTTGCAACTAGCAACTTCTAACTTGTAGCTGCAACCTTCAGACGCTGTTTGTTTTATGATTCCGCGAAAAAGCGCTGTGTGCCAAAGGGCTCTCGTAATTCGCCCCGCATTTCTGCAATTAAATTCCGTGACACGACCCGGCTAGAGTGTTAGTCTTGTGTTAGCCTTTTTAACTAGTTGATGAAGTTCCTGGCTTGCTTACTTGTTCTTGTTATTGTTGTTTTAGTTTTGCATGCAATTAACCAGTGATGCCAGTTAGTTAGCTAAAAGTTGTTGCTGTGCATGACAACAAGTTGTAAAGTTGTTTGACAGTTCCATCAATAATTCAATCCCATGATGACTCACAGATCTTAATTTGTCAGCTGCCTATAGAAATTTCGTCACTAGATAAAGCTTTTTAGCATTATTTACATAATTGATGGCATTATTAAATTATCAAGCATAATCAATCATTTACACAAAAGACAAATCTTTGACGCACACGTGATATATTATAAAAGCTACATCAGCTGTCAATGCTTAGAGCAAAAAATCTATTATGACAGATTGTTATGAATAACAAAATGTGTGAATTATTCATGCAACATTTTAGAAAGTAATTAGGCCAACTTAAATTTTGCTCAATTTTTAATAGTTGACAGCATTTTTATGCGAATTTAATAACTTGTCAGAATTTACTTCAAGTTTGTAATAAATTCATATTTACTGACCCTTGAAGGAGGAGGATCTAATTTAATGTCAAAAAGAAGCCAGACAGGTTCCCGTTGTCACAATAAAACTTTTTTCAATGAGAAAATATTGTAATTTCGGACTTTATTGAAACGGCATTAAAATTAAATCTATATAAATGCTAAAACGACGAATAAGCGAATTCAATTCAATTAAGTTGCTTGCTTATTTAGTAACCTCGACATTCATAATCATCTCCATTTACACTTCCACTGCTCAACCGCAAATGTCCTTCGTACGTGGCAAACACACAAAAGGTACAACAAACAACAACTGCAAATGACGTGCGCTGCTTGTTAACTGACAGCAAGAATAACAAGGCTAACAACAGCAACGGCAATAAAATCAATAAAAAAAAAGCAGATGTTTTCATGTAGATTGTCAACAAGAACATTTTCTAAACACAGCTTAAAAAATATATTTCCTTGTTAACTGAATTCCAACAAGATGCCAAAACAATTTAATATACAAATATGGTTGAGTTTCTATCTATTAACATAACATAATAAGGATGTTTGGAATTAAAACAAAAAAATCTCATTTTAGATATCGCCTTATTATTCGATTCTCATTAATTCAAATAAGTCTTGTAGGCGTTTAGACTTTGATTTTCAGCATTATCTTAAAGGGTTCTGTCGAGAATCTGTTAAATATTTTCTCTAACACTTTGTTTCTCTCTCTCTCTCTCTCTTTTCCACTTTTTCCTAAATTTACTCAAACTTAATGTCGCTTTCTTTTCAGAGATATCTGTCTGCCCCAAAATAACAGTTGGGAAAAAACTAATCGTTCTTTTGGATGTGAATTTTTGGGTAAGTACATAGTTACATATGTATTTATATATCAATAAAAATATATGTTAAGGCAATTCAGTCTTGGGCATGGGCTATCTCATAGTATGTTATAAAATGAAATGGCCTGGAAAAAGGCGTGATAAAATCATTTTCCATGCCCGCATATATACACACACACACAATCAGCAAACGTACAGAGGTCTCAATTAAAACACTTCATTAGCACGTGCTGCAGAGTTGGAAGGAAAAGAAACTTTAGCTCCCACGAGGTTTTTAAACACTATATTTAAGGGGCAACGTTTTTCTTTGTTGTGCTACAATATCAAAGCATAAACTTCAATGGGTTGTACATGTTGTGAGCCTTCAATTATATAGAAATCATGCACAAGTGAGCTTTTATTGCGGTTTTCCATGTACATTATTTTTTGTGGCTGCAAAAAACATTTGGAAAGTTTTTAGCAAAATGTTATTTAAGCATTCGTTTGCGTGTTAAATTATGGTCAGGCTAGTCATAAATTATAACGCGGTCTCCATTAAAATGTTCAACTAAACATGCAATCACGCTTAGACCGACAGCAATTGCAAACAAACAAACAAACAAACAACAGCAAATTAGTCATAGAAAATGCCCACACACACACACACAATCACACAACCACAATTCATAATTAAAATACAAAAAGGCATATGGAAGCCAGATGTTGCACATTTAGTTGTTGAAATTAATTAGACTTGTCGTTAATTAAATTGTCGCCTTGGTGATAGAAAAGTGTGGTAAAAACTTGCGCTGTGTGCTTTCTGTCTGTTCGTTAGTTTTTGATGTGCTTGTAAATTGCTGAAAGGTGCAATTAATTTTTGTGGAATGAACTCAAAAAATTAAAAAAGTACTTGTTTCAAAGCACTTAAAATGTATATGTTTTTAAACTGTACAAATAAATGGCAATAATAGGTTTTGCATTTAATTTCGCGGCTTATACTCTAAGGTCTCGGAGGGGAAAAAGTGCGGCTAGAAAATTTTGAGTTTGATGTTATCTTTGAAAACAGAATTTGTTGCCATATTTTAATGCACTCTATAAATAAGGGTAATGGAAATTATTAATTGAACAAAATCAATCGACTTATACGATATTGCCTTTATATTAGATGCCAATACTTAAGATGCGCTTAAAACTGAAGCATCTAATTGATTGCAAAAATAACACCAATTACAATTTCAAGTAGTTGAAAAGGGTTGCGTTTAAGTGTTGGTCAAGCAGCTAAGAACAAATATTGTGAAACATCTTATCACATCTTATTTAATGCGTAAACAGACATGGTTTAAAGCGTGGAACAAATATATTTGTACTCTTTGTAAAGTATAGTTATTATTCTGCTCATCTTTCGACTGAGGCATAAATAATAATGTTGTTAAGGCCTTGTTAAAGTCAAGTAGACACATCTTGATCTTATACAATTATGAAAAATGCTTTTGCTAACCGCAAATGCAACTGAAGCGCAAATACACAACAATGTGCGGCAAGGCTGCTGTCATCATGCTCTTTGCTGTGCAGAAAGTCAACACACAAATACACACGCACACATAAATACATATATACGTATATAATACAAGCTGATTGCCAGATGCGGCGCAATAAGAAATACGTAGCATACAAATGAGCGCAACTTGGCTAAAATCTAAAGCTTAAGATCAACCACAAACGACAAACAGACAGAAATAAAAAGCAGAAATGGACAGCTTTTTCCTGCGTGCTTGATATTTGAATTTTTTTTTTATGGCACACTAAAAGCATTGGGCAGGGCTAAGCTGTGGCACAGTGGGAATTGCAAAAATGTGGCGAACAGGAAAACTATTATAAATATTGAAAATCGAATTACACCCTCAACAAATTTATGTGGCCACAAATCTTACCCTTAGCTCTACGGCGACAAGTGCCGCAGTCCGCATTCGTGCCATAAAATTCGGCAATTGACAATATTTTAATTGCATATCGGTATGATATATGGGCCTATAGGGCCCACATTTCACTTGTCCCCTTTCCCATTTGAAAATGCATATATATATATTGATATAGCTGGACCAAGGACAGCACGCAAATCTTTTTTACTCTTTGCATGCTGTGTGCTATGTGCAATTCCTATGGAAATTCATTTGTAGCTGCCATATAAAGTGTCCAATAAAGGTTGCATCTCCAGTGGCTTGGCAGCTACAGGAATGCTATGGGAAATACGTGTAGCATTCACATATCAAATGAATGCTTACTAACATTAAACTGGAGCCAACGACGACTTGCGAAAATGCCAAAAATGTTAGTTCTGCTCGCTCGAATGTGTACAGGAAATTTTAGACAACGACTGCTTTAATAAAGCATGCCCTACTAGTTTTCTTTATTAGGGCACCCTTCAAATCCAGATAATAACTACCTTAAACTTCCCAGCACAGCCATAAATTATTTCATTAAAACTATCTGTGCGACTCTCATATACCTTGTTGAAAAACTTATCTTCAATATAAGCAGCATTGTTGCAGCCCACTTCTCGGCCGCATACAATGCAATTGTTGCACATGCCAACAGGAAACATGAAAAACATTTCCCAGTCACATCTCAACGTGCACAATTTGTAAACAACCTTCCACTCAGACGAGGTCCTTCAACAGCATGAACAACAAAACTTTAATGCAAATAACAATATCAAATAAAAACAAAATTTTGTTAATTCAAAGTGCTCGACTTGGGCTTACTTTATAGAAAAGTCTGGACTATGCATTGCTAACTGAAAATCAAAATTGTGATTTTTAGCAATAAAACCTAAATGATATTAAGACATTTAGGTTTTATTGTTAATAATTACAAAAATGTAAAGTTTTGCTCTCGAAAACAAAAACCAAGTGAAAACTTCTCAAGTTCTGGATAAACTCATTTAACTTGCTTAAATCTAATGTTATTTTCATGACAGATGTCATTTTGGTTTCTTTTTTTTTTTTTCATAAACTACCCTTAAAATCGTAGATGCCTTCTATTCAAGGCAATGTTTAGGGTATCAAAACACAATCCTGCAGCTGCAAATAAGAGTAATAATGCAAGAAGGTGGCAAGTCAAGAGAAACCACAACAATAAACTTGAGATACAAAATAATGGAAAGCGATAATTACACTGTTCATTTAAAAAATATTTAATTAATTCTTTGCAGTTTTAGATGTCAGTTGCGTTCATGCTGCACCTTCAAGAAAGCGTGGCTGTAATTGAAAATCAATTTCCATTCGATTTTCAGGCTCTCTTTGAACTGCGCTCACGCATACCAAACGGATGAGCTGTGTAACAAAAAAAGAAAAATCAATGAGAAATGCAATTACGAGTCGTCTTTTGGTTGCGTGGGCGTGGCAATGTCAGGGCGTGACGACAAAATGGGGAAAGTTAGTTGCTTTTAAGAAGTAGTAAAGCACCAACATAGACATTCAAACACCAGGGCAAGTCGAGCAACAGCTGTATTAAACTGATAAAACTAATTCAATAACTAAGAATATTGGGCAGTTCTTTGCCCAGATTTACACTCATGATTGGCAACATGCCAGATTTATGATAAATTTAAAGAATATTAAATAAAGATAATAGTTTGAGCCAAAGAAGAGGCTATAAAAGTAAGTGTAATAAGAACAATATGTTGAATATATTAGGTTTTTCGATTTTCATGAATGCAAGTAATGAGATTGAGGTCAGTGAGTGGATAAGAATACGGTTAAAGCACGAGAGAGATAGAGAGTCGATGTTAAAGAAGGATAGAGAGGGAACATAAAAAACCCAATATATATATAAACCGAATGAAGTAAATAAGAGAGAGAGACAAAGCCGGAACTTAAGTATCGTTCAACATCAACACATATTAAATTGTTTATAATTGGCGTGTTTTGCATAAAGTTGGCTTTTAATTTTTATCAATTTAATTTTCGCAAATTCCCTCAGGCATTCAATATAAATTCACACGTTTACATACCTATTGAAGGGATTTGCTGCAAAAGCTGTGCTCTTTGGTCGAGTTAATTCCCAATGACCAAACGCATTTCGAACTCATTTACTTATTGTAAGCCCCTCATAATCCCCGATTTGCACTTTGAATTTTGCATTCTGAATGTACCAAAGCATTTGTTGCTTCAGGCTACAAGCTGATGAAATAACAACAACAAATGGAAAGAATGTTGACTTCAGATCTAATTAAAGTATTTGAGTTTGTGTTTCATTCGCCCGGCGTAATTTAACTCGCCGTTGCTGTTGTTATGTCCTCTTGTTGGGGTTAGTAATTTTATTAGCAGTCAACGCGGAAATAGCAATTAATTCCATTAGCATCGACATCGTTGTCCTGCTTCCAATTTCCATTACCCAAGCTACTTATCTAGCTAAGCGCTGAATGTCGGGTGGACGCATTAAAAATAAATAGCACAAACCGCAATAACATCCAGTCGAAGGACGACAGCAGGCTTCAAGGAATGTGAGTCTCTACGAGGCGTCGTCTATGGAAGGAGTTAATTTGAGCTGATAAAATTAGTTAAAATAGTTAAGCTGCACGAATCTGTATAACTTTTTAATTGTCCCAATTATTTGCGCACCTCGGGCGAATAATAAAATGCAATCGGTAGCGGGAAAGACAATTTAATGTAAATTTGATTAAACGCCCTGGGCCATCAAATTAGCGTAGCTGCTAAAGCGGCTTAGTTAACAAATAAAAAATGACAATTATTTGGCTATAATTAAAATAATTCAAACATACAATAGATAACTAGATGATTATATTAGCTACTCAGTTTAGTAAGGCAATAAAAGAGAGTGCCAATTTCATAAGACGAAAATATCTCCGACCCCCTAAGGTATATATAGTTATTTTCATTAAACTCAGCACTCGTTCGCTATTCTGTAAACAGCATATATAGGGTATTAAATCTTTCTATTTTTGATATAATTTATAATATGTCCAGCCCTACATATTGAATATACAGACATATAATCCATTTATCCATTCCCATTAAT